CTCGGCGCTCCTGCACCTGCTTATGCTCCCCGAGGTTGTGCATGAATTGGACCTCACCCACCGTCCGTTTTCTACACACAGTATTAGGAGATATAGCCTACACATTAGTTTAACTGTGTAACAGTTAAATGAAGCAACAAATGTGATTTTAATTGATTTTAAGGAGCTAAGAGGTGGAATTACCTGAGTGGACGCGCTTCACAGAGAGTGCATAGATGTAAAATGCAGAGTGAAAGGAATACAGTTTTATAGTCCAGATGTGCCATTTGACCTTGATGACCTATTAAAATAAAAAGAAAAAAAAATCATGTTTACGTTTTAAACCTTTATACAATTAAACCTTTATACAATCTCTTGCAAAGCATCCTCTGAAATAAATAAATGAATGTCTGATTTTTAATAACAGGAATTTATTGTACATGACCAAAATCAGTTAGGTTGTTAGTAATATGAAAGTTATGTGTTTGATTTATTTTGAAATCACTACATTCCTAGAGCTGACATAGTAAACATTCAGTTATATTACAAAACCAGCCTAAAGTTGATGTACAGGCTAACTAAAGTCAACAAAATAAAAAAACTAGAGTTGAGGGTTTGCGCCTCCTCTAGGTTACATCTCTATAAGACAGACCATACTTCTGAACGTACCTCAGGTGATGGCTTCTCCTCAGTCTCATAAAAGGAACACTTTAGTATAGGACATACAGTGGAGTCAGTTTGGTTTTGGGGTAAGCTCCTATCAGTTATGATAAGCACTGGGCTCCCCACCTTCCTTTTATAGCCCTTCAGTCCAGCCATTGATGCACTGCCTTCATTATTGCTGTTGATGTCATGTCTCCAGTTCCTGGGAGGAGGCAGGACAGGAATGACAACACCTCCTCTGAGCTTCAGCCTTTCACAGCTGTCATACCAGGCCAGATGAATAGCTTTGCATGTTGAACCTCGATACCCTCACACCCACACCTCCATGCACAAATACACACACACACATGCACCAAAATTCCAAATCTTCTGCCTGCATTTCCCTGATAAAAACCTATTGATTTTGCACCTGGTTGCATTTTTTTTTACTATCATTGTGTCATTATATTGTTTCTGCTGGCATGTATGTGCATGTTCAAATATTCTTTCAATAAAGGTGTATACTGTTCTTTTACTGAAATCATTTTAACCAATCTCCCAGTCCAAAACGTCACTTTCTCAGCCACATTTTTGCCGTAGAACATTCCTCCGCATTTTCAATTTCACATGCTTCTCTCTCTCTCTCTTTTATCTGTTTCTGGGGACTGGTCAGATCTTTTAATCCACATCCAATGTGACCTTTTTTGTCTGACTCCCAGCCTGTCTCACAACAATAGTGCCAACATTTGGATGGGTTTATGACTCTCATTGAACACTGGGGGGTCTCCTTGGTTACATAGG